AAACAGTGAGCATGAAAGGTAACAGAACTGTGGGTTCTCGTCATGTCCAGAATGGTTTGGACTCCAGTGTAAATGTGCAGGGTTCAGTTTTGTAACATTTTTCTGCAACATTTTTATACAGTGTCATTTAAATTGGGAGAGGATACTGTCCTGAAGCCGTTTAAAGTAGTGCATACTTGTCACAATTTTGCCTTTTTGTGGGTTTCTTTTTGCTTCGATACCTCTGCCACTTTGGAAATTTTAACAGTTAATTACGTTGAATGTTGCTAAAAGGATGTTTGTGTAGCTCAAGTTATTTTTATATGAGTTAATGTGAAGTTGAAATGGAAATTATTTCCATAAAATATAACATAAATGATGTCTGTACAAATCTGTGTGTATCTAGAACCTGTGCTGTGTAAAGGCATTCTTACTCATACTGTTATACTTGCACCACCTTCAAGATTTGTCATAATAGCTGTGGGTTTATGACTGCCAAGTTTGCCCAGTACAGTAGTTTTATCACTAAAAGATGGACTTGCTGAAGGAGTCCTATAGTAGTTCCAGTGTTAATTACAGTTTTTCCCAACATACATCTGTGCATTTTCTCCTTAGGTGACCGAATGTTTATGGTGTGCATAGTTACTCAGTTTTTAAGAACTGTTGTATCCTGTTTATGCATAATGCTCTGTGACTCCAATATTATCTTACCTGTACTGACCAAACCTAAATAAAAACTTTTAATAATGTAATTTCCTTGTTCTGCGTTGGCTTACATGGCTTCTTTGTGTGCAGTGTATTCACTGTAATTGCTTTTATTTTTTTTAATTGAATTTTTTCCTGAGTCAGTCACATCTGATACCGCTTTTGCCAGATACCTGAAGTTACAAGCGTGTTACAAGCAGTCTTACAGTGCTTATTCTACAGATTTTGTCATTACTGGCAGATAAGAATGAAAAAGTTAATAAAAGGAAACCTTAGAGTTGGAACCTTGCTTTAAAAAAAAAAAAGGCAAAATGAAAAAAACCCAAAAAACACAAACAGAAAATGCTAGAAGTATCCAAGAGGTAAATACACAAATTAAACAACAGAATTTTAAGGTATTAGTGATTCAGCCTCTTAAGCCAGATGTAACTCCTATTGTTTTTAAATGCCTGCCTGAGGGAACTGACTTCTTAACAGGTGCAAAAAATGAAAAAATTACCTTTAATTAACCATGTTTGTATTGCAAGTAGCAATGAGTTAGAATTTCTCAGAACCTGAATTTCTGGTAGTTATTTTCTATCTGCTAGTTTAATGATGGTAACACATAGGCAAGGAGTTGAAAGAGCAATAGCTCTTAAGCACTGTTCAAAGTGAAGGTAAAAGTACTTGGCTGGGTAGACTTGAGTCCAGTTTCCACATTTTTCTACATGTGTGTCTTGTAATTAACAGATGACTAAAAATTATATGTAGCCACTGAAATAACAGTAAATAGGTTATAACTTTGCAATTCACTGTGGAAACAGTGACTTGTTTGAAAGCAGTATTTCTCCAGAGTTGTAGGACATACTTTAATTTGTTTCAAAGTTACACAGTTACAGTAAATTCCTAGGTTATAGAATGGTTTCTGTATTACCACTTTTTTAAGTGGCATATTATATGAGAATTGGCATCTGCACTGGTATTGTCCAAGACAAATGGATGTAATTAAAATACTGCTGGCTGCTGTCATCTGTGTTGGAGACATGCCAGTCTATGTACAACTGCTGTTTTGATTTCACAGAGTTTGCTCAAATATAATAAAACTACTTGGTAATTGTCACTGGAGTTGTAAATTTCATTGGTAATACCTGATTGTTTTTGAATGTTACTTCAGGCCTTATTACCTGAAAGATAGCAGTTTTTAGTGGAATGCATGAAAGGGAAGTGATGAGTACCTATATAAAAAGTACCTCTATAAAAAAGTATCAGCATCTGGCACCCAAAGTAATTCCTAGTTTACAAAAGTTGCTGATGGTCACCTAGATCTGTAGTCACTGGTGATGTAGATTTGGTTTTAGTATCGTATTGCTTGATTATCCATAGCGTGTGTATAGGTACATACTGGATCCCATACATGGTAAAATACTTGTAAGAAGCTTAAAATGCTGATAGATGACAACAATGGCTTCATCTGATCATAAGAAGCCCTGTGGGGATATCTGTGGTTATGGCTCAAATCTCAGTCTGAAATATGAAAGCAACTCATGCAAAGAAAATGGTAGGCATCTTTTCACCTAGTGTAAGGAATTAGAAGGATGTAAAATGTTTTTGGAGTTACAATAATTGTTCTTAATTGTGCTAAGGTTAAAAAAATACGTAGCTTTCAGGTGGTGACAGCTTGCTACATAAATCTGTCAGTTACTATAGGATAGTCTTAAAACCTCTCATAAAGACTTAATTTTTTTCAAGAGTGTGGTACTTAATTTTTGAATACTAAAAAATTAACTGAAGAGATAGAAAAGAAGTATTAATTATACCCTTAGACTGGAAGTTACCTTAACCTTTATAGGAAAATAATTGTAAGGCAAGGTAAGCCATTCTCCCTGTCATTCTCTGCCTATCTTCTAAATAAGGAGGCTGGAGTGTTTTATTTCTGTTGTTGTGGGTTTTTTGGTTGAGTTTTTGTGATTTGGTTTTTTTCCCCCAGAAGGAAAGCAACCCTGGTCCAGTGGGAGGTGTCCCTGCCCATGTCAGGGGGTTTGGAGCTAGATGGTCTTTATGGTCCCTTCAAACCCAAACGATTCTGTGAACCCAGCAACTGCACCAGTTAATAGCAAAATGCATCAGATAATTGACTTCCTTTCATGGAACACAGGCTGCGAAGCATTAATGAATTGCAGTATGAGAATACACGGATAGAAATGCCGAAACCTGTAATAGTCACGTTCTTGCCTGGCTGTCAGTGCCTGTGTTATGATATTTAATAATCCTGAATGTAGTTGGTTTATTTTAGCAAAAGATGGTATGTCATTGATCACCAAAAAATACAACATATACTCCTCTTTAAAATTAGGTACTACCTAAATCTTGCTGTATATATTTTCAGCATTCAGGTTAAAATGCCATTTCCAAACCTCCTGTTGATTTTGAACAATTTGCCTTTTATCTATTGATAAAGCAGTTACTTGCACTGCTCAGATTTCCAGAGAGTACTGCTGGCTGATAGAGGAAACTAAATTAATATGTTTTTCTAGCATCCATCAAGAAGCAGGGGAACAGACACACGCTGCTCTGAGCTGAGGTTCCCTGTGCAGGTGTCACCAGGTGGATTCTTTGACAATTTTCGAGATAAGGTTATTTATTTTCAAAAAGGTTGTTCAGACCTAACCCCCGCTAAATTTTTGTAACTTGCGTTTTTACAGCGTAGTAAGTGTTGGGTTCTGTAAGATCGTAGAATACGTTTTTATTTAAAAATACAAAAATGAAAAGCTTGAGGGTTTTGTGGTAGTGGAGATGATTTCTAGACAATGCAGATTTTTTACCCAATGTTTGTGTTGTCTGCAGACTGCCTCCCAATTCTGAGGAAAGAGTTCTCCTCACTGACCGCTCTGGAGAACCAGTTTTTAATGGGTCTGAACTTACTTGCATTAACTACACTGATTATTCTAGCTGTTGGGCTTAAGGAACCCAGAAGAAGGAATTTCATCAGAACTAAAGGCCATTAAATTGCTACCAGGAGGGAAACAGATGCTGGGAAACAAGATACACACAAAACTGAGGAAACTAACAGAATCCAACCAAAAAACCCCCACGACACTCGCTGAAAATCCTATTTTTGAGTGCGTGTCTTTTCAGGCAAGTTTTCAGGGCTTATCTGTGTTGTTGTATCCAACAGGCAGAAGCCTCTGGCAGGCGTTTTTCTGCTTGATGTGAAGACTTAGTCCTTCCTCTTCCTCAGCGGCTGCCTCGCCTCGGCCTACAGCACCGAGAGGCCTCAGTTTGAAGGTAAAGGCTCTGTGCACTGGTTCTGGGCACACGGGTCCCTCTGCTGCCCGCCCTCGGCGCCGCCCGAACGGC